GTCTTGAATCGGTATTGCTTTTGTTTCTTGATTAAGTGCTGGATACATGTATGTTCATGTTTGGGGTTTATCCGACCTGTTTGTGTTAAAAGGGAGATATTTTTGTTTTTGTTCCGGGCCGCGTCTACTTACTTTTCGCTCGATATTGTCTAGGTGTGTTATTATTATTATGGAAGGAAAAGGATGGTGAAAGTTCAAATGTGTTTATGCATACGGAAATTTCTTCCGTTTTGCATGATGTTGATGATTTTTTATGCCTTTTGACTGTATGATCTATAAATATTTCATTACAATCCACAAGATGTTATATATGTAGATATTATTTGTATCGTTGGATCTGCATTCAAGGCATGATTGTGACACTTTTGTAAGTTATATCATATCAGTTATGATTTGTGATAAGCTAACACATTATTGACGAGTTATTTTAACCAATTGTTTTGAGCACAAATTGTGTCTAGAAAATATATGCTACAATCTTAGAGATGCCACTGTTAATAATATGTTGTCAACTACTTTTGTTTCCCAACATTTCTGTGATCTCTGAAGAGTTATGTTAGTGTTATGTGACAAAGATTCTTTTTTTTTGGAGCTTCGAGTGAAGGACAGGGAAGGAATTTGCTTGTTCTTCTCATAATGCTCCAAACATGTATTTGCTTTGTTGCTATGGAGATGGTTGACCAATTTACTTCTACCATGGTGGTCATTTTTCAGCAACGGGCTTAAATATTTTATTATTCTATAAAATTAGGATCAAATCATGGTACTTACACAAATTCTACTATCAAATCTCACTCTTTCCACCCGTTCTAGCTTCCACCATGAAGCAAGAATAAGCTTTAGGAACCAAAATTTGATCCGTTCAGTTTTTTCAACTTGTAGGAGTTAAATAAATACCCCAATAGTTTTGTTTGGCTGTGAAGAACCACACCCATCTTATTGAATCACACATATTATTTATTCCTCTACTTGGTCATTATTTAGGGCTATTTGTAATTTCAAGATTGAATTATCAATTGCTTGTTTTCTTGTTACGGTTGATTAAGTGTGTTGACTATTTTCCCGATCATCCCTATTGCAAAATTCTCCCTTCTCTCTGTGTGCAAAAAATTGTTCAAATACAGTCCTTATATCCAACACTTTTGCATATTTTTTTGTTGTTTATTTTGTAAATAACCAATTTCTTTTCTTTTCTAGTAGAAAAAAATGGCAACTGCAGGGCTTTCCACCGTTTGCATGACCACAATCCCTCCACAAAGAAAGATGGCAACCTCGTTCGTCAAAACCCAACAACCCTCATTGGGCTCTCCAAAGAGCACCACACGAACCATTGGGCTGAAAGTAAGGCCCAACTTCCGGATTTGCGCCATGGCCACTTTCAAGGTGAAGCTGGTGGGGCCCAATGGGGATGAGGACGAATTTGATGCCCCAGATGATGCGTACATTCTCGACTCAGCCGAGAATGCGGGAATTGAATTGCCTTACTCGTGCAGGGCAGGTGCATGCTCTACGTGTGCTGGGAAATTGGCTTCAGGCTCGGTTGACCAATCAGATGGCTCGTTTCTCGATGATGGGCAGATGAACGATGGATATGTGCTGACGTGTGTTTCGTACCCGACTTCGGATTGTGTGATCCACACGCATAAGGAGACTGATCTGTACTAGAGTGTTCTGGATTTGGTTGTAAACAATTTGGTTTGTGTTTGTTTGGAATGTGAACACTTTATAGAGTGGCTTATTCTTGTGCTTTAGTTGTTAGAAAAGCTCTCTGGGCAACTCTGAACTCTTGTGCTCTTATTGCAGCAGTTGGAAATTTAGTGGTTTGATTTTGAGTATTCAAAATTTCCTTTTATTTTTTAATTGTTGTCTGAGGGGTTTGATGATGCCTTCCTTTTATTATTTTCTAAACTAAGGGTGTGTTTGTAACCCAATAAATTCACTCAAAGTGAGTTTTTTTTAATTAACTATGGTTAATATAAGAAAAAGTGATATATTTAGTTGTTAGTAGGATTTTGAATTTATATAAAAATAATATTTAAAATAAAATAATTAAAGTTGATTTAATGTAAAAGTGGGAGATAGATGATATGAAGTGATAGTTAGTTAAAATTATGTGAGTTGATAAATAGTGAATTAAAATTGATATGATGTATAAAAGTGATTACTTGTTATTATTTAATAATATTGATAATATTGAGGATAGTGAGGTTGCATAAAAATTGAGTTAAATTTTGAATATGAATTAATTTGGATGGAGATATTTAATTTACAAACACACCCTAAATGCATTATCTTGGGAAACATTTGCTACCACCAGCGTGAGTATTATATTAGACAAATTTGGTCGTATTAATCAGAGCTTAATTATTACGTGCCTTCGATATTATTTTTTCATTCATATTTTCTTCATTTTTCTCAAGCCATTTCGTGAAATTTACTTTCCACCGTATAGTAGTTTGATCAACATATTATTTTATCATATATTTGTCAAATAACGTTGATATATAGATATATTTCTTATATTTCTTTTGTATATACATTAGCTGAGCCAGTAAATCAACATTTTTAATTGTTAAATAAAATGCGTATGGAACTCGTGGCCATTATAAAAATGTGCACGGACCTCACGAATGTTTCTTTTTAATAATTCTTGTTGCAGACTTCTTGTACAAGACGTGTATATTCTGCATATTACTAAAATATGAATCAACCTTACCAAAGCCAAAGCAACTATGTTAACGCGAAAGAATCAAAGTTAATGTGCTGCATCAAGAAAATTGACTTTTATTCATGTAGAATAATGTTTGTTGGGCTCGAGCCTTTTAAATCTGAATTTAGAAAATTGGCCCAAAACAGAACATTTGAGGAAATAGAGTCTTTATTATATTATATTTGTGGAGAAAATTACAAATTTGGTCTCATAACTTTGACTGTTTCCGACATTTGGTCTCAGGCACGCCATTTATGATCCTTTTTAATTTTTCGTTGCCAAAAATGATCTCATTCCGTCAAGACTTAACAGTCAACGTTCATAGCTAGAAAGGAAATAATCAAATTTTAGGACTAAATTTGTATTTTCAAACGAGTGGGACCACATCTGCAATTTTTTTTTTTAAAAAAGAGAAAGAGAAACGAGTTCTTCAAGTTTGTCTAGAAAAGAAGCCATATCATTTTGATGTTTAATTTAAAAGTGGAAAATTGACTTTTTGTTTAAAAAGTTTGACTTACTTTAAAAAAAAATGAATGAAAATTAAAATTATATTTTTATCTTATTGTGCACTTTAATTTTCAAAATTGCATGCCAAAAATTGTCCATTTTTTGAAACATTTGATATGTCCTATTTTCTTGAAACATATACATATCAATAAATTTGTTTAAAAATGCAAATATGTTTAAAAGAGTAAGTGAGAAATATATTTAAATTATTTTTATTAGCAACATTTTTTTTTAAAAAAAAATTTTTTTAGTAAATGTTAAAAAAGGTATATTACCATTCTTTTCTAATAGTACATTTAGTTTGTTTTTTTAATAAATTATAAAAGATAATATAACTAACATACAATTCTTTCATATTTTTTTATTGAAAAAAAAAATATATGATATATTTTACTATAAATAAGTGGGAGCAAATGTCTATTTTCACTTAATTTATTACCAAATTTTGTTTTATTAAAATTGACATTTTTTATGTAGATGTAATTTTCATAAATAAATAGATTTTTCAATTTATAGTTGTCAAAATAAAATTAATAAATAAAAATTATTAAAATAAAAATAGACAGTAATAAAAAAAAAATAGTTTAGATTGGGTTTTTTTTAACTAGTATTTGATCCTGTGCATTTGCACAGATATAAAACACGTTCTTGTTTGTATTTATTAATTAGACATGTACTTCTATCATGTAAAAATTATTACTTTTTTTTTAGGATAAAAATGTAATCCCTTTTGGAGTAATTAATTAGATTAATGAGTAATTGGGTAAAAATGTAACTCCTTTTTAGACATGGTACTTCTATTATATTAATTAGATCAGTGAGTAATTAATTAAAAAAATGTAACTCCTTTTGGAGGAAAATAAAAAATGTTTTTATTAAATGTTTTATTAAATGAATCAACTAGTAATTATATATATACTAGTAATCAACCTGTGCATTTGCACAATGACGAATACTTTAAAAAGATAAAAACATAAAAAAAAAAACAAAAATAAATCATAATTTAATTCATGAAAAAACAATATGAATTAAGAAAATAATTCTCAAAATTGATTTTGATCAATTAATTGTTATGGAAGAGCCGTTACAACCATTTTCTTTATGCTAATACACCCGACCATTTTCATGAGTGGATGTAACTAAAAATTTGAGTACAATTTTGTAACTCCCTTGATTGATTTATGCTCATAATTTATGGCATTCAAGCAAGTTATTTTGTAACTTAAAAAATAAAATTGAATGCTGAAAATTTTGGAGGGAGAATAAAATTTAATGCATGAGAATAAAATTTAATGCATGGTAATAAAATTAAATACTTTGTTGCTCCTCTTTATATATATAGTCTGTAAGGATATATATATAGATTCGTATTATTTTATACAGTTTGTAAGGATATATATAAATTATCACATTATACTAATATTTAAAAGTGTAGACGGATTAGTATTATTGTAAGCATACTCACATTTTTTCTTAATTGTTGAAGAAAGCGTAGAAAAGAGCGTCCTTAGTCAGTGAAGCCGATTTAAGCCCCAGGGAATATTTGAGGCTTAGATCCGTTATTGTCGTCGCTCTTATTTCGTTTGTAGCAACTAACAGTCGTGCATTGTTAGGGATAGCACAACATAAGTTACATGAACCGAGCTTATGTGTTTGTGGTCGGTAAGGCCGAGCGGCTACTCCTAGATTATGTCTTTTGGTTTTCTTTATTTAATTAAAATAATATTATTTCTAATTATTCGTTAATTTAAATAATATTCAAATAATTGCCAATACTTTTTAAGTAATGACGGTAAAAATATTAGAAAATAAAATAAATACCACTCAATTAGCAATTATATCGTTTTCTTTTCTAGCCCAATTAAAATTTATCAATGCCCTTACTTTTCCACCTGATATTTATTTTTATAAAATTATTTTTAATATTTATTTCTCGCATCATGTTCATAGTAAAGTAATTTTATTATGTCAAATTTGGTCCAATCTAACGTTCTCACATGAGCCCCGTCAATCTTGACGGATGTGGGACCATTTTGGTAACAAAAAATTAAAAAGGATCATAAATGGCGTACATGGGACCAATGTAGGAAACAGTCAAAGTTATGGAACTAAATTTGCAATTTAATCTATATTTGCCATTAAACCTTAACTGTTTAAGTAGGCTGCATAATTGCCCGAACTTCGGATTGCCATGAATTTTTATTGTTTTCCTGGCTGTCTCAAATACTTTGTATTGGCAGGTGATTATACCAAGTTCCGGAGAAAATCATACACACAACTCTCTATAGGCAAAATCAAGCATGAGTTTTACTCTTATATAGATACATTTTTTCGTTTGAAATAGCTAATTCATTAGCAAAAGTGGAAAAAAAAAAGAGAGATAGAAATCGTCTGTATTCATTTATTGTGATTCTCTGCTAGACAGATATCGTGCAGATATTATAGTTTACATTACTTTTTTTTTCTTTTGGAATAATATTTAGCTCAAAGTTGAAATCAAAATTGGCAGATCTCAGCTCAATGTCTTCACTGAGAAAATTCAAATCAAAGCAAAATGGCAAACGTTAACGTTTGAAATAATATTTAGCTAAATGTTGAAATCAAAATTGGCAGATCTCAGCTCAATGTCTTCACTGAGAAAATTCAAATCAAAGCAAAATGGCTAACGTTAACTTCCAGATATACTATGTTAGAGTATATTGTTGTTGGGTCCTTTCATTGATCTGGATTGGACCGGTTGAATTGAACTCCGATCTGCCTGAACCGTCGGGCATGAACCTGCAGAACTCAATACCAGAGGATTTTCCGGCGAATAGCCTCCAATGCTTAAGTCAGTAATCAGGAAGATGATAAAGGTAGTATATTGTGTATAGAGTGTAAATTTGTGATTTAATGATACCTCTGGCCCTTTTATATGGGAAATATCTGCCCGGAATGTCTTGCCCGAGTGTCTGCGGTCAGCCTGCCCGAATCATTAGTGCTTATCCATATCCTAATCACTTCTTAGTCAGATCCTCTTCATCTTCAGATTCCTTCTTATCCTTATAGGATTCATCCTTATCCATTAAACCTGTTAGATCTCGAAAGCGAATATGCTCCTTAGTACATGCTTCGAGCCGCTGTGCGTGTAAGATCATCTTCAAGACTATGGAGGTCGACTTGGTTCCTACCCCGATATATCAAGTCGTCCAGTGTTTACTTCGAGCTGAGTTACCATGATTAGATCGTCATCTTATTGGTCGTTCCTAGATCATCGTCGAGATCCTCGACTTACTTGTCCCTTCGCCTGTATCAAGCTGCTTCATGGTTAGATCCACCTTCTAGGTCGTCATCAATTAAGTAGATGTCGAGGCTCCCCGAATCGCAGTCTTTCTTGTAGTAGTCGTCGTGCCCCTATGCTAGTTACCTCAGGTCGACACGTTCAACTCGTCTTACAACCCGATCGAGCTACCAACACTTAATCGGTCTATGCGAGTATGGTTATATCAGTAAAGCAAACTTTATGTGAGCTTTTAGAATGTATTTGTTCGATTTCTCAGTTGACTGAAATAAATGTTATTACATTGTTGCACTCTTTATGATTGCATGTATGCTAAATATCCAATTATTTTATATTATAGACAATGTGGTGTGTTAGTAGTCACACAGAAGATTACATTGTCGGTTCCTTATAAGAAATAACTGGTATTCACAACTGAGATAGTTATGGACATGACTATCGGTTTAGGTTTTAGTATAAACTGGATGTAGCTTGTCTTGGCTATTTGTTTATACTTGTGCGCTGCGTCACATTGAAAGGATCACAGTTGAGACGTGTTCATGTGTTCTGACTGTAATGAAGAACCAAGGTCTTGGTGACTCTACTAATTCTAAACTCTAACTGTAATACTTAGATATGTGGAATATTTGTTTGTAACTTTGACTTACCATGGGTGAGAACCAAGTTTGGTTCAATATGCTCTGTATTTTGGGTAATGACATTATCTGCATAATATCTATTTATTGGCATTAGGGCACAGTGTCCTGGTCATTTAGGTTGATGACGTCCCCTTAAAGAACTCATAAGCATTATCGTATTAAACCCTGCAGGTGAATTTAATTCGTACGATAATAAGTTGAATGGTATTACTTAAGGAATAAAAGATATTAATTAAAGCAGTCAGAAGCTTTAATAATTAATGGACGTGCGATATACACGGAGAATTATATTTTGCCTAATAGAAGCCCTGATTCATTTCAGAATAGGAAGAGAGTACAATATTAGTTCTTTAGAGGAATGAATTAATATTTATGGGTCAAATTGTGTTCCGGGCTAAACATAAGAATTAGGGCCCGTAGAGAGCCCAAGCTCTATACCTTATAGGAAATCCATAGTGTGGCCCAAGGATCTCTATAAAAGGAGAGGATTGCACGTCTTGAACCCTAAGGAAATAGAGGAACTCGTTCAGCCACCATCGTGACGAGAGTGAAGAGAAGGGTTCGAGAAAGACGAGACGTAGTCCACTCCTTGCAACCGTTTGGAGGTTCGTCGTCCATCCGGGGTTCAAACATGGTCCAGACACAGACTAGAAGATCCCCTCAGAATCAAAGCCTCCGTTTCAAGGTATTTCTCTATCCACACTTTAGGAGCATGCCTAGGATGTTCGAAATTATGTATGTACGTGTTTTGAATCCGATAACGATCTGTGGGAGAGACCGCCCTCGTCGGCATGTTCAAGCATACTATGTATTACACCACTCTACAGTACAAGGCAACAAATCAAAATAAGGTTGCAAAATGCTCATCACAATCTATTACACATGCTCGTGAACTTAAACCTTTTTAGCCCATCTATACTTATATAATAAGAATCAACATTTATCAAAATTAGTAACTTAATTAATGGTCAAAGTCAGTTTTGCATTAATTACTTTCCAAAATCGGTAACTCTTATGTCCATTTCACACGCCTTATTAAGACAGCATTTATGTCCTTTTCACACGCCTTTTAAACTCATTAATTATACCGATTTAATTCTCATGAAATAATCCCAATTCACACGCGTCATTAACAGCGTCCTTATCACATAATTTTTATGGTAACGAAATAATCTCATTTCACACGCCTCATTAACAGCATCCTTATCACATATTTTTTTATGGTACCGAAATAATCCCATTTCATACGTCTTTTAAACATATTTTTTTAACGATAAATTGAAGAAACAACAATCGTATTATAAGGAGAAGATATTTGGGATAATTTTAAGATTAAAAAACATGCATAAGGAGAAGATATTTCATATACCTTATTAATATTCAAAACTGATATTAAGTTTGTTATTCATTTCCTAAAACAAATACACGTGTTGAATTATTATCATATTAACAAGATGTTTATATGACAACATGTTTAATGATTAATGAATATTTATATATCATTTTATTTATATTTATGTGAATAAAATAATATTTTATTATATTTTTTATTAATGTACAGTGAATATGGTTTTCAGAATCGAACCATCATCGAAACGATCAAATTATTCTATTAAATCATTTGTAGTTTATTCAGATTTTAATTTATAAACATTTTAATATCAATATATATACATTTATATATATATATATATATATATATATAGAGAGAGAGAGAGAGAGAGAGTACTTTTTGTAATAAATTTTAATAAAATGTGTTACTTAAATATCTAAACAATTTATAAATTCAAATGTTAAAACTAATTGATAAACAATTTATAAATCTCTATTTTATTTAAATATGTAATTTTATTTAAATTTTAAATGTAACAAAATTTATTTAGAAAATCGTAACGATCCTACCAGTCCAATTGACTGATGTTGACGGATTCAATAGTAAATATTTTATTCAAGCGAACTACACTGTTTATAACCCGGTTCTCGATCCATCCGGTCGGACTGTGTCCAACCTGGTTTAATTTAAAAACAATGGGTAAATCATAATTAATGATATTATATATTTAATTTATAATATAATCGTAATATTATTTTCCCGTACATCGCACGGGCCACGCACTAGTTTGGCAAATATAATAGTTTGGCAAACAAATTTAATCAAACAAATAATTGAATCCCATCAACAACGGCAAACAAAGCGTATGTGCTACACAGGTATCGGTCGAATCTATAATATACATTAAACACCGAAGGTCGTTCATTGACAAAACCAAGAAAGAAACATTCAGACAACACGGTACACGCCTTTTTATTTTTAACTTATGCATATGTACAAAGAGTTTATAAAACCAAATCCAATTTGGTGAAGGGGCTAATCTGAAACAAGGAAAGGAATGATCATGGACATGAAAGTGTCGTAAGATAGAGTGGCTGACCCTGTATATCGTACATCCTTCTCCTTGAACTTTTCTGTCAAACCCTGAAATAAAGGGTTTGAAATAT